GATAGGGACGAGTCTGCTAGGGAGACAGAGAGAGAGAGAGAGACCGACCAGGCCAGGATATGCAGCAGAGTCTGGCAGTTGCTTTATTTTTCACCGTCGCCTTTATACCCTAAGCTGGTACATTTCTAAGGGGCAGATAAGCACACAGACTTGGTTTAACGTTACACCAGCGTGTCCTGCACGAAGCCAGGTGTGCGCTGTATATTTTGTTTATGAGCGTCTTTCCCGTGGATTTTTGTGCATTAGCTTCTGGCCTTGAGCTCAGCAGGAAACAGAAGAGTGGCGGTCTCACGGTACAGCAAGTCGCAGCATAATAGAAACACAATCCTGTTAACATAAAAGTCAGTCTTTTTGCAGAAATTCTCAGCTAAATGTATCTAAAAAGTTTAACACACAAAGACTCTGTGGCTCTGGTGAGGCAGCCCCTGTTTAGCGCTCTTGGTTAAAATTAACAATTATCTTATTGTTTTTACACTAGGGCTAAACTCTTATTTTTGAGATCTCCAACTACATTAACAATAGTTTCCACTGCACAACCTCAGCACATTAACATCAATGAAACGTTGATCCAATAACCACTTTTAAATCAATATTTTTTGTATTTTCTAATAGGGCTTCCTCACCCCCAAAGGGCTCTGTGCCTATTAGGGCCTTTTTTATGGTTAATCTCTATGTATAATATCTTTTGGCTTTCAGGCCTGTTGACAATTTATGGTTTGCACCTGGTGCAACTTTAAGCAACTTCAGTAGCCGACCCTGTCTTTTTTGTGGTTAATCTATTTTCTTTCTATTAGGTGTCATCTCCATGGGAACTAGATAGGACTACATTTTTCACAGAACAGAAATGCAAAGGATTGCAAAAACAGCAGATATGGCACAAAACAGGCTCTTAGTCTAAAAGTTAATTACCAGCAAGAAGTCACCAGCTAATCTCTATCTAAACTCTATTTTATTAGGCACATTTGTGGCTATAATATTTGTGGAGGTTTTCTCATCCCGCACAGTGACCTATGCTTAATAGTTTCTTTTGTTAGCGTACTGTGCTTAGGATGTTTAGAACAATCATGAGCATTTTGTGTAATGAGAGCACACATTCATCAAACAAGCCAGAATGCCAGCAAAAGGGTTTGAATTGAAGCATTTCCTTCATCCCTGGCCCCTTCATAGGGTATCAGCATCCAGGAGATTTATTAGTTAGGGTTTTAAGTTGTTCTTTATTCACTGAAAGAGGAGCAGGAGACCTCTTGGCAGGCAGCACAAGAATCCGCAGCAGGGCAAACAAGAACAACAGAAAAGGGGGGAGGACACAGGGTGGGGCAGAGGCCGAGGCCAATCTGGAGGGTCCCTTATCCTAGACGGCCTTGCCTGTCAGGTTTTCTCCTCATGACCTCGTCATGGATGGGGTCCCGGACGGCCTTGCCTGTCCGGTATTTTCTTCATGACCTCGTCATGGGCGGGATCTCCCATAATGGCTCCCAGCAATCACCTGTCCCGTTTTGAGGCTGAGGAACGAGAGCCTCTCTCGGGGGTGACTGTGAACAGTTCTCCTTTCCAGGTCATGAGTGACCCGATCCTGCACCAGAAGAAGCTGCTGAAGCGGGCGGTGCTGATGCTGGAGAGGGCGCGGAGCAGGAGGACGAGGTTCTGAGGGTGCTCTCCCTGCGCGCCCTCGGCAACGTGGCCTCAGCGCCCCCAGGAAGGTCCGTGGGGGCCGGGGCGGGGGCCGGGGGTGAGGGGCCCATGGCGGCGTGTCCCGGGCAGCCAGGGCCCCGTGTCCCCCAGGTGAGGCAGTACCGGAAGCTCTTACTGGAGAAGTGTGTGAGTTCCCTGCGGGGCCCCGGCGTGAGCACCAGCGTGACCTCTGAGGGCCTGGAGGTCCTGGCCAAGGGCTTGGTCGAGCTGCGGGGAGGGGACCTGGGGTCCGCCTTCAACGCCATCTCCGAGCAGTGCAGAGCCTTCTTTGACAACGTGAGTCCACACTGGCCCCTTGCTCGGCCCTGGCCCTCACAGGGGTCCCCACGAATGGCTGCTCAGTAGACAGGTGGCCACTGCTCATCCCCTAAGGGAGAGAGGTGCCCTGGAATGAAAAGGGGTGCAGTTCTGACTTGGGTACTGATGTACCGATTGGCTGATCACGGGGGCTGGTTAAAAAAAAAATCTTGTTCTAGGGCCCATGGGACCCTCCTCCCCTGACTCTAATTCCTCCCAGCCACAAATGCTATATGGATATCTGTGATTTGTGGGGTGGGAACTCGGCTAGGTTGGGGTGGTAGGCGATCAGATCCAGCACAGCTCCCGTCTAGGCAAGAGAAAGTCACCAACACCAGAATACTGCCCAGTCCCCAGAGCCCTGCAGGAGACACTCCATCCTGATGGAATGATCCAGAAGGCTTTGTAGGCACCAGGGTGTTTAAGAAGGTCCACGGCGAATGGCTGGGGTTTTATTGGGCTTCTCCTTTCCCACGTTTCAGAAACAGCTTGTCTGTCTTGGCTGCAGGAGAGCGAGCTGCTGCGTAAAAGGCATTCATCCTCTTCGGGAAGCTGGCACAGGTGGTCAGGATTTCCAAGAAGCATTTCTTCAAGCAGGAAGTGAAGAAAGCCTGAGTGCCCCTCATGCTACATTGCCAGGACCCCTACTCCAATGCAGCCCAGGTGAGACACACCTGGGCTCTGTGGGCAACGCCCAGGGCCCGCTGTCCCCACAAGGAACACGCGCTTCGAAGCTGCTGCCCCAGCTCCTGGGGTGTCCTCTGTCTCCCTCAGTCTTCCTGGGACCCCAGAGGCCACCATCTGCTGCTTCCTCCCACCAGGCTGAGAAAGGAACCAGTCAAGATAACCCACAAACTGGCTGATTGAGGAGTCTCGGCTCTGTGAGGGCAAACACGGCGTACTTTCCTTCTTCCCCAGATGCCGTCACCAGCCGCCCTTTGTTCTGTCTTTCTGTCACTATTCGTGTCCGATGCTGTGACCCCATGGACTGCAGCACGCCAGGCTTCCCTCGCCTTCACTGTCTCCCGGAGTTTCCTCAGACTCACATCCATTGAGTCGATGCTGCCATCCAACCATCTCATCCTCTGTCACCCCCCTCTCCTCCTGTCCTCAGTCTTTCCTGGCATCAGGGTCTTTTCCAATGAGTCGGCTCTTCACATCAGGTGGCCAAAGTATTGGAGCTTCAGCCTCAGCATCAGTCCTTCCAGTGAACATTCAGGGCTGATTTCCTCCTTTAGGACTGACTGGTTGGATCTCCTTGCGGTCCAGGGGACTTCAGGCGTCTCCCCAGCATCACCCCTGAGAGCATCGGCTGGTCTTCACTCAGCCTTCTGTGTGGTCCAGCTTCCCCACTCATACAGGACCACTGGGAAACCACAGTTCTGATCATACAGACCTTTGCTGGCAAAGCGATTTGCCTCTGCTTCTTAATGTTCTCTTTAGGTTTGTCACAGCTTTTCTTCCGAGGGGTAGGCGTGTTTCAATTTCGCCCTGAGGTTTTGGTTTGCATTTCCTCAATGGCAATGGTCTTGAGAATGTTTTCATGTGATTACTTGCCATTTGTATCTCTTTCCTTCGCCCATTTTTAAATTGGCTTATTTGTCATTATATTATTGAGTTATAAGAGTTCTTATATATTCCAGATACAAGTCCCTACTCAGGGGCTAGATTCGCAAACATTTTCTTTCATTTGGTGGGTTGATTTTTCACTTTCTTGATGGTACCATTTTCAGCACAAAAATTTTTAGCTTTGATGATATCCAGTTTATTTTTTTTTTTCTCATCACTTGTGCTTCTGCGTGTTATTTCTCAGAAGACTGCTCAGGCCAAGATCATGAAGACTTATATTTACATTTCACTCTAAGAATTTTATAGTTCTACCTTTTATATTTACATATATGGTCCATTTTGAGTTCATTTTTGTGTATGGAATGAGGAAGGGGCCCAACTTCATCGTTTTGTAAGTGGCTATGCAAGTCTTCCCAGCATCATTTATTGAAAAGACTACTCCTGAGTACCAAGAATTGTCTTGGTACTATTGTTGAAAATGAATTGACAGTAAATGTGAGGTCTATTTCCAGACCCTCAATTCTATTCCATCTATCTATTATCTATCCTGATGCCAGTATCACCTTGTCTTGTTTACTATAATTATGCAAGAAGTCTTGAAATTGCAAAATATGAGTCTTTCAATTTTGTTCATTTTTAAATCATAACTGTGTTGGCTATTCTGGGCCCCTTATAATTCCACAGGAACTTTAGTTTCACATTGTCAATCTCTGGGGCTGGGGGTGGGAAGCCAGCTTGGATTACAGTGGGGGTTGTGTTGAATATATAGATAAATTGGCAAGTGTCACCATCTTAAATATACTGTCTTCTAATCTGTGTACATGAACTGCTTTCCATTGGTCGGGACCCTCTCTGATTTTCAACAAAGTTTATAGTTTTGTAAAGACTCCTCAACGATGAAATAGACACATGCAGTGGTCATGAGCCAACAGCTGGATGAGACAGGGAGGAGAAACTAGTGTGTGGGGAGGGATGGGGGCGGGTGTGCAGCATGGTTTGATAGAGGGCGTACTGTCTCCTACCCCCGTCTGCCAAAGGTGGAGGTCCACCACCAAGTGCCTGCTCCATTTCCCCCTCCAGGCCTTATCTTCCCCCTTGGGCATCCTGTGGATCGGTGCCACCTTCATCCTTTTCACTATTTACCAAAACACATTCAGATCTCATTCCTTGCCATGGACTCTGCTAGGGACGACACTGCAGGTGGGGGTGAGGTGAGAGGAATGAGGAAGATGGTGACTGGAGGGGAAATGCCCCCCAGCTCCAACAAAGCAGGCTCTTGAGGGGAAAACAAGACAGAACAAAACACCACAGCCCTCGGGTCTGGACCAGCCAGCCGTCTCCCCTCCCAGGGCGCTGTGGGCAGCCTCAGGCCTACCTGGCCTCACGGGGGCTGTCCCCGGAGTCCCCTCCCTGTCTGAACAGCCCTGCCTCTGGGAACCAACCTTCTCCAGGGAGGGGCTGTCGAAGCTGTCGATCTGGTTGTTCAGCTCTTTGCTCAGACGCAGACTCCAGCGGGAACCCCGAGGCATCTTGAGGGAGTTTCTCAGAAACTGGGGGTGGGGGAAGAAGGCACAGGTGGGCAGTGCTCCAGAGGGCTGTGCTCCTCGAGCCGTGACTCTCCCTCTCCAGCGTCTTCCCCGGTCTCCAGAGGGCTTCGCCCTTTCAGCCCCGACCCAGCCTTGTGCTGTGCCGGCTTGGGGGCTGCCGGGAGGGGTCACCCTGTGCTGCCTCCGGGGCTTGGGCTTCCAGGGTGGGGTCTCCTGCTGGAGCTGCTTGTGCTCCCCAAGTCTTGTGACAGGAGGGGAACGTGTCCCCTGGGGTCTCCAGAACTCCCCACATGCCAAACCCACCGAGTTGCCCCAACCACCCTCCAGCCTGGCCTCAGGCGGCGGGATCACCTCTACCTGAATCAGCCTGTCCTCCCACGTCTTCTGGTTCCAGGTAAACTCGGTGTGTTCTGCAGAGAGAAGGGCCACCCGTGCTCCTCTCTCTTGCAGCTCCTCCATGCCGCCTCCTAAATGCAGCATCTGGGGTCCTCTGTGGACGGGCTCCCCACAGCCCCACATCCCTCCCCACCCTCCCAAGGAGCAGAGTAGGCTGTGCCGGCCACCTGGAGCCCGGGCGCCTTTGCTCAGGACACGTGACTGGCACTCGGCATGTACAGTGATGTGAGGTGGCCACACACCCCGGGCTCCTTTGCTCAGACCAGGTGGTGAGTACCCGGCATGTACACTAGGGGTGTGTGGGGGGATCACACATGCACTCAGGATCCTTTGCTCAGCCACAGGTCTAGCACCCGGCGGGTAAACTTAGGGGCTGGTTCACACATGCACCCGGGGCATCTCATTTCCAGGTACTTGACCAGCTGCGGGATCTCCAGCTCCCACATGTCGGCCATGGAGGGGGCGATGCTCTGGCTCAGGGTCTTCAGAAGGTTGAGCATGGAGATTCCGCAGCTCTCCCCCTTGGAGGGGGACGACATCAGTACCTGGGGAACACCGAGACTCCAGTGGGGCCCCTCCCTGGCTGGGCAGCCCTAGGCCCCGCACACCCCAACCTGGGGCCTCGCTGTCCGAGCCCATAAAGGGAGAGTTGGACAGGATGGGGCCTTTCAAGCAGAACTCCAAGGATTCCCAGGATCAGAGCATCCCTGCAGAGGATGCTGAAGGCACGAAAGGAGACACGAGAGCATGGGCTCCCTCCCCACCCCGGGTTCCATGGAGCTCGGAGCAGGGTCAACACAAGGAGAAGGATGCATGGTGCAGGGCGGAGCTGACCCCCAGGGAAGGGCACTGCTGACAGAGTCCTGTGGATGCTTGGGGCCATTCAAAGGCCCAGCAGAGAAATCTGGGAGCCTGCTGCCCTTGCCATATCTCCCCAGAGGGATGACGGGTGCCTGGAAAGCTCTGTCCTGCCAAGCATCCAGCTCCCTGTTCCCCTTGGAGGCCCTGGGGATTAGGAGCTCATGGGAGGGGCACCTCAGGACACAGTGGGGGCCAGGCCAGTGCACGACCCGTGAGCCACTCACCAGGAGTCGGGCCAGCAGCTTATGTGGCGCGGACGGATCCACTGGGGAGAGAAAGATACAAAACACTGAGGCTGCCCCGCTCCCGTACCCCGGGGGAGCTTCCCCTGTAAGGTGTTGCCCCAACAGCATCCCAGAGCCCCCCAGAATTCAGGAGGGGCCAGGACGGGGGATTTTCCACAAAGGACATCACTACAAATGGCCATCCCGAGAAGGAGGAGCCTGGTGCTATGGGCTGGGGCTGAGAAAATGCTCTTTTTTTCCCAATTTATTTATTTATTTATTTAAATTGGCGGCTAATTACTTCCCAATATTGTGGTGGTTTTTGCCATACATTGACATGAATCAGCCATGGGTGGACATGTGTTCCCCATCCTGAACCCCCCTCCCATCTCCGTCCCCATCCCACCCCTCAGGGCCATCCCAGTGCACCAGCCCTGAGTGCCTGCCCTGTTTCATGCAGTGAACCTGGACTGGGGATCTATTTCACATATGGTAATATACATGTTTCAGAGCTATTCTCTCACATCATCCCACCCTTGCCTTCTCCCTCCAAATGCAAATGTCTGTTCTTTACATCTGTGTCTCTTTTGCTGTCTCGCATATAGGGTCATTGTTACCATCTTTCTAAATTCCATATATATGCGTGCATGTACTGTGCTCTTTTCAGGACAGGCCCGCTTGGGAGTGCACACCCGGCCGGCCTGAGAGTGGTTCTCTCCTACTCTGAGTCTGGGCCTCCTTGAGCCAACAGTAACTAGACACCACCACCTCCCCTCCCCTCCCTCTCCAGGCTTTGGGAGGCTTTGAACCCACAAGTAGGGAACTCACAGCATTTGGACCAGCGACTAAGGGAAAGGCAGGCCTGCTGGAAGCTGCAGGGAGGCGCGGCACCCAGGAAGGAGCCAGCCCTAGACGCAGGGTCCGGGCAGGAGGCAGACCGGGGGTGGTCTAGCCAGATGCTTAGAGCAGGCTCTGCCCCTACTATCTCTGGGTCCTGTAGGTGCGCAGTCACCTCCTGTCACCAGCCACATCCATCCTCAAAGCCCCAGGACCATGACAGCAGCCTGTGGGACAGGAGGGTTCACGTAAGTAGGTCGGTCTAGTCCCTTTCTTGAGGGTCTGGTGCTAAGAAGGGCGTCAACATGGTGAGTCAGAGGGCCTGGTGGGGGTGGTTCCAGAGGGCTCGGATGGGATATCCAGTCCTTCCAGTGGGCTCACGGGGGCCAGAGAGCTCACACCTGCGGGAAGCCTGAGCCAGGACCCCTGCCCTGGGGTCTGGGCCAGGGCGGGTGGGAGGTGGGGACCAGAGGAGTGGGCTGCCAGAGGAAGCGTGCATGGCTTTAACCTCCTCGGATTTCGGCAAGGGCGGCCTCCTTGGCAAGGCCTTGCTCTCTGGGCTCCAGGCTGCTTCCTGGGGAAGGGGGAGCGGTCCTAGGCACGGGGTGGCCCACCTGCCCAGTCCCTCCAGCTGGCGCAGTGGGGCTGCCCACCGTGCCTGCTCTTGCTTGAGTTGGCCTCCTCATCCTTGGCGTGCAGCTGGCGCTCGGCCAGGTTGGTGAGGCTGGTGCAGATGGGGGTCAAGGCCTCCGTGTAGTCCGTCTCCATGATGCAGCACGGGAGCCTCTCCCAAAATTCCTATGGGGGCGATGGGGGTGAGGTGGGGGTGCTGGGGTCAGCCAGCCTGGGCATTGCACAGCCCCGCGATGAGATGGTGGCCCCTCCCCACCCCGACAGCCTTGTCTCAGCCTCGCTTCTCCAGAACCACACTCTGATGCACTGACTGACCACCTCAGGCCCGCCGGCTCTGCTGTCCAGCCTGGGTCTCGGCCAAGGCCGTCTAAGCTGCACCCACCCCATGGCCGAGGGGGTCAGCTAGTCCTGGGCCCTTGACCTCTGTGCCCCCTGCCTCACTCCAACCCCGCAGCCAGCATATCCTCTTTGACCAGCCCTCCCTCTAACCCCCAATCCCCTAGAGAGGCACACTGGGCAGACAACCTAGCCATGCTTGCCAACTGTGATGATTAGTTTCTATGTGTCTGCTTGGCAAGTGAATGCACACAGTTATTCAATCAAACACTAATCTAGGCATGGCGGTGAAGGTATTTTGATGAAATCTGATCAAGGTCCATAATCCATGTAGGAGGTTACTCTGGAAAATGTGAGTGGACTTGATCAAATCAGTTGAGGGCAAAAAACAGGTTTCCCTGAGGAAGAAGAGAGTTTGCCTCAAGGTTGCAGCCTCAGCTACTGCCTGAGTTTTCAGCCTGCTGGCCTACCTCCTAAACTTCACACTTGCCAGCCTTCACAATTGCACAATACATATGATGTTGTTCAGTTGCTCAGTCATGTCCGACTCTTTGCGATCCCATGAACTGCCACATGTCAGGTCTTCCTGTCCTTCACCATCTCCCGGAGTTTGCTCAAACGCATGTCTATAGAGTCGGTAGATGTCTATAGATGCCATCCAATCATCTAATCCTCTGTTGTCCCCTTCTCCTCCTGCCTTCAATCTTTCTCAGGACCAGGGTCTTTTCCAATGAGTCTGCTCTTCCCATCAGGTGGGCAAAGTATTGGAGCTTCAGCTTCAGCATCAGTCCGTCCGATGTTTATTCAGAACTGATTTCCTTTTGTATTGACTGGTTTGAGCTTCTTATTGTCCAAGGCACTCTCAAGAGTCTTCTCCAACACCACAGTTCTAAAGCATCAGTTCTTTGGCACTCAGACTTTTTTATGGTCCAACTATCTCATCTGTACATGACTCCTGGAAAAACCATAGCTTTCACTATACAGGTCTTTGTCTGCAATGTAATGTCTCAGCTTTTTAATATGCCATCTAGGTCTGTCATAGCTTTTCTTCCAAAGAGCAAGAATCTTTTAATTTCATGGCTGCAGTCACCATCTGTAAAGATTTTGGAGTCCAAGAAAATAAAGTCTGTCACTGTGTCCATTGTTTCCCCATCTACTTGCTGTGAAGTGATGGGACCGGATGCCATGATCTTCATTGTCTAAATGTTCAGTTTTAAGTCAGCCTTTTCACTCTCTTCTTGCACCTTCATCAAGAGGCTCTTTAGTTGCTCTTTGATTTCTGCCATAAGGGTGGTGTCATCTGCATATCTGAGTTTATTGTTATTTTTGAGATACACACACACACACACACACACACATCTCCTACTGGTTCTATTTCTCTACAGATTCTTCGAGCCATGACTCTAGCCTTTCAACTTCACCCTGCCATCTCCCATCTCGCCAGGTGATCACTGAACACCCCTAGTTACCCTGATTCCTTTTAGCCCCACTCCCACACCTAGGAATCTGGGGTGACCTCCTGTGATACTAACAAGTGAATTTGCCTGATGTGTTGTAGCCATCAGGACTAGAATCCCTGGCTACTGAGATTCCCCAGGGATGTAGCATATTGAACAGGAAAGACCATTTTTATCCTGGCTCCACTTTTTACCAGCTTAGAATCCTTGAGGAAATTAATGAGTCCCTCTGAGCCTCAGTTTCCTCATTTATAAAAGCCAGGTAATAATAACAACAGACCTTACCTCACAGGGTGCTTGGGATAATTAAATAAGATTCTAGATACTACACATGTAGTACAGTGCCTGCCACGTGTACTCAATGAATTGTAACCACTATTATTATTATTACTATAACTATTATTTTTGTAATTAGGAGAAGCTGCCACTGGATGGGGAGCATCTGGCCCATGGCCTCAATTAACAGACAATGGTTCCCTCCATGTGCAGTCATGGTAAACTTTCCCTATCTTACTGCTATGTCACATTGTAATACAATTAAAAACTGATGCATTTTTTCCCCTAAAGCCTGTGAACAGCTTGGGGTCACACTGAGCCTTCCTGTGTATGCCCAGATGCCTCAAACAGAGTTGGAACTCGTGTTTGTGAAATATAACCCCTAGAGTCACTTATTTGCACACTCACACATATACACACATGCATGCATATGCAAGGGCTCCCCAAGCGGCTCTAGTGGTGAAGAATCTGCCTGCCAATGCAGAAGACAGGTTTGGTCCTTGGGTCTGGAAGATCTTCTGGAGGAGGAAATGGCACTCCACACCAGTATTCTTGCCTGGAAAATTCTATGGGCAGAGGAGCCTGGTGGGCTACAGTCCATGGGGCCACAATGAATCGGACATAACTGAGTGACTGAATACATGTGCGCGCGGGCACACACACACCCCTGGACTGAGGGGCTTTAAGGTGATGGATGCAGTTCAAGCAATAAGTCAAGTGATATGTATTAGGCCTACTGTATGCCAGGCACTGCCCTGCTGAAGGTAATAAGGTCCCATGAAGGAAGTGAATCTTGAAAAACGAGCTCAGGCAATTGAAAGATCTGGGGGGGCCACCCATCCTCCCAGGCAGTGGGAATGGGAGAAAAAACAGTGCAGAATTCTGGGCCTGTGCCATCCTCCCCGCACAGCCTCGCACAGCACACACATGAGCCATCAGCCCCAGTGGGCCAGCCCAGTGGGCCAACTCACATTGCTCATCCCACTGACAGAAGAGGTTATGATCCTCACGGTGTCCATGGGGACCTTGTGGACCATCTTCTCCTCTAGGCCCCTCTGATAAAAGTTGTCCCTGCGGTCGGTCTGGAAGACAGAACCAAGGAGTGCCTGCTTGTGGGCCGGCAGGGGCTTGCCATGGTCTCACCTGTGGTTTGCTTTCCCGCAAGAGGCTTACACCCAGATACTGAGTCTCCCGGAAGCCCAGAGCTGTGCACGGGTTTCACTATTTTCTAGACCCCTGGCAGCTTACTGTGTGTGTGCGCACTTCTACATGCATGCAGGTTCATTGAGCAGTGCTCTCTCCTCAGCGCAGTGGGAACCATCTCTAAAGCCCAACCACTCCACCGTCACTCACCAGTTTGTACGTGGACAAGGTCAGCTGCACAGACACGTACTTCAGGCCCCAGCCTTTGATCCTGCCCTGGAATCCTGACAGGGCCAGCTGCCCGATGATGCAGAGCATGGCCATCCTCACCTGAGAGGCCAAAGCACAGACACGCTGGGCGCTAGAGGTTCTGCAGGCACCCAATCCCATGACATGAGACAGCTAAGATTTGAGGGTGCTGTGGTCTGGAAGGGGTCTCTGGGGCTACCTGGATGCTGCCCACTCTGTCCACCACCACCTGCCTCATGCAGGGGACCCCGCTCAGGAGCAGGTCTACCCAGGAGCCTCATCTGTGCCCTTCAGAGACATGAGCACACTGCTTTCTTGGCAGGGCTGCTCCATCCTCAGGCGGCCCTGGTGAGAACCACCTGCCTCTTCTCTCAGGCTCCCCAGGGTTCATGCGTGGGGACGACACAGCACAAGTCTATTCCCTCTGCCCCTGACATCCTCCAGGGACTGAAGACAGCTCTGCCTTAGGCTCAAGACCGAGCACCCTGTTCCCTCCCTGGTGTGTGCAAACCCTCACCATCCTGAACCGCACCCCCAGGACATGAGGGGTCCGCCGCAGGAGCCATGTCCAGAAGTCAAGGTATTCTCTAGGGGGCTGAGGCTGCAGTGGCCAAGATGGTGGGTTTTGGCCTTTATTTGCAGAGTTGCTTTTCTCAAAGGTGGTAATGACCTTACAAAACACCTAGCTAACCAAGCAGCTTGGGCTGACACTGGGTGTGTTTGGCCTTTCCTCTCTCCAGGGTAGTGTCAGAGCCCAATCAGAGCAAAACTCCAGGTTCTTGGTGACAGGGGGGGTCTCGGGAGAGGGGCCACAGCTTCCAGGAGCCTTATTCTTCTCCAGCCCCACTCAGGACTGGCTGGAAAGGTAGGTTTTCCATCAAAGGGCCTTCCTTGAGAAGGCAGCCTCACCTCCACGCACAGAGCTGGAGGGGACGGGTGGCAAGCAGGCTGCAGCTGATGGAAGAAGGCGCCCTGACTTCCCTCCACTTGCCCGGCATAGCCCAGCACACACTCCCTTTCTGGGTCTCCCCGCCCTGTTACCTTGGACTGGGTGTCGGAGAGTGTGTTCTTGACCACTCGGATGGCCAGGGAGATGGTCCTGATGCTCATTCTGGGCTCTGAAAGAGGAAAGCCTGCCTGGAGGTCTACTGGCCTCAGGGCTGGGATCTGAGGACATGCCCAGAAGTGGTGAGGCCCCTCTGCCACCTTCCACGGAGACAGAGGATCAGGACCCGTCCGTGCCATGCCTCCTGAGAACCTCTGACTCACCCCCACAAGCTCAGGGCCGCTGCCCTCAGAAGTCAGCCGGCACTCTCAATGCCCACCCGCCCCAGCCCAGGGGGTCGTCTCTAGGCCTCACTCCCTCGGCCTCTGCTGCGCGTGTGTCTCTTTGGAAACTAGGGGACTCTCCCTGAGGGCAGGGTCTCCTCCTGAGAGCTCGGTGGTCCCCTCAGCGGGACACACAGGGCCAGACACACAGCGGACACACGCAGACCACCCCGCCCGGCTGCAGAGGCCGGGGCTCCGGGGCCAGGCTGCTGTGCTGTCTCTGGCTCCATCGCATCCCACTGTGTGACCGCGCGGGACTTACTCAGGCCCTCTGAGCCTCAGCTTCCTCCCCTGTGACAGGCGGACACTGAGAGCGGGTCCCTCCCCAGCCTCTGTGAGCAGTGACACGAGCTGACACACACGGGGCCTGGTGTGCAACAGTGTGAGTGTGTGCTGGAGGGAGGGTGAGGAGGAAGATCAGGGAGGTAAGGAAGGGCGCGGAGAAGGCTCTCGAGAGGTCGGCGTGGACACATCCACAGTCAGGCGCTCAGGGCCTTGCTACACTCAAGTCTAGGTGCTACTAGACGTCACTGCAGGAGGAAGAATAACAGGAAATCAGGTCCTGGTGGAAGATGCAGGAATTCAGGCACCAAGGGATGATGTTACACTTAAGAGCTTTTCACCTCTAAAATGGAAACCTTTTTTTCTGATTATAAAAATAGTCTATGTTCACTGAGAAATTAAAATAAAAGATAACCAGCCTTCATGGTTTAGGCGTACCCTTCTCAACTCATTTATGTAAAAATGAGCACCTAGATTTCTTTCACATCACAGAGGTCATGGAGGTGGAGGTGATGGAATTCCAGTTGTCCTATTTCAAATCCTAAAAGATGATGCTGTGAAAGTGCTGCACTTAATATCTCAGTAATTTGGAAAACTGAGCAGTGGCCTCAGGACTGGAAAATGTCAGTTTTCATTCCAGTCCCAAAGAAAGGCAATGCCAAAGAGTGCTCAAACTACCGCACAATTGCACTCATCTCATATGCTAGTAAAATAATGCTCAAAATTCTCCAAGCCAGGCTTCAGCAATATGTGAACTGTGAACTAGATGTTCAAGCTGGTTTTAGAAAAGGCAGAGGAAACAGATCAAATTGTCAACATCTGCTGATTCATCGAAAAAGCAAGAGAGCTCCAGAAAAATATCGACTTCTGCTTTATTAACTATGCCAAAGCCTTTGACTATGTGGATCACAACAAACTCTGGAAAATTCTGAAAGAGATGGGAATACCAGACCACCTGACCTACCTCTTGAGAAACCTGTACGCAGGTCAGGAAGCAACAGTTAGAACTGGACATGGAAACACAGACTGGTTCCAGATAGGAAAAGAAGTACGTCAATGCTGTATATTATCACCCTGCTTATTTAACTTACATGCAGAATACATCATGAGAAACGCTGGGCTGGAAGAAGCACAAGCTGGAATCTAGGTTGCTGGGATAAATATCAACAACCTCAGAAAAGCAGATGACACCACCCTTATGGCAGAGTGAAGAAGAACTAAAGAGCCTCTTGATGAAAGTGAAAGAGGAGAGTGAAAAAGTTGGCTTAAAGCTCAATACTCAGAAAACTAAGATCACGGCATCTGGTTCCATCACTTCATGGCAAATAGATGGGCAAACAGTGGCTGACTTTATTTTTCTGGGCTCCAAAATCACTGTAGATGGTGACTGCAGCCATGAAATTAAAAGACGCTCACTCCTTGGAAGGAATTTTATGACCAACCTAGATAGCATATCGAAAAGCAGAGACATTATTTTTTCAACAAAAGTCTGTCTAGTCAAGGCTATGGTTTTTCCAGTGGTCATGTATGGATGTGAGAGTTGGACTATAAAGAAAGCTGAACACCAAAGAATTGATGCTTTTGAACTGTGGTGTTAGAGAAGAGTCTTGAGAGTCCCTTGGACTGCAAGGAGATCCAACCAGTCCTTCCTAAAGAAAATCAGTCCTGGGTGTTCATTGGAAGGACTGATGGTGAAGTTGAAAATCCAATACTCTCGCCACCTGATGCAAGGAGCTGACTCATTTGAAAAGACCCTGATGCTGGGAAAGATTGAGGGCAGGAGGAGAAGGGGGCAACAGAGGATGAGATGGTTGGATGGCATCACCGACTCGATGGACATGGGTTTGGGTTGATTCCAGGAGGTGGAGATCGACAGGGAGGCATGGCATGCTGAGGTTCATGGCATCGCAAAGAGTCAGACACGACTGAGCAACAGAACTGAACTGAAAGAGTGAGACAGGACTGATAAACTTTCACTTTCTCTGTTGCTTAAATTTGCATTTCTGTAAAAGATGGGTTTACTGTCAGAAGAATGTCTCTCACATACAGTTGCTCAGCCTGTGTACTGCACAAGGATAAGTAGCTGAAGGGCTGAACTGATGCCAACCAAGCACTTCTCAGGGCTTCCCGGGCGGCGCTAGTGGAAAAGAACGCTCCTGCCAATGCAGGAGACAGGAGAGATGTGGATTTGATCCGTGGGTCAGGAAGACCCCCTGGAGGAGGAAATGGCAACCCACTCCAGTATTCTTGCCTGGAGAATCCCATGGACAGAGGAGCCCGGTGGTCTGGGAAACAATGGGCGGGACTGCAGCGCCTGAGGGCAGCACGTGTGCTTCTCCAGCCATGCAAGACCAGCCGCGGCCAGCAGAGGGCGCCGCGTTCACATTCAAGCGGACGCTCTCTGCGCCGGCGCTCTGGGGAACAGCGTGTCCCTGGGGGTCCCTAGGCCGGGCTTGGGGTCTGGGCTGAGGGGATTCGGAAGCAGGGTTTCAGACTAAGCTTAGGCACCGGGTCAACGGGGCTTCAGGGCACATCTATACTGTGTATCTAGGCTTTATGTGCAGACTTCCGGCTAGCTTTGGGAGCTATACTAGGATTTGTGGTTTGAAATTCAGGCTCAGGCAGAAGCTGGGATCAGGGCTGAAGGAGAGGGGCGAGGCCGTGGAGGGTGGGACACAAGGCTGCTTAGGTTCAAGAACGGGAAACGGAGCCCCGAAGAGCCCTGACTCCGCGGCCCACCCAGCAGGGTCTACAGAGAGGAAATGGTCCAGGCACTTCCCCGGCAGTCAAGGGGCTAAGACTCCGTGCTTCCATCGCAGGGAGCATGGCTTCGATCCCCGTCAGGGCACTCAGGTCCCACATGCCGCCGCGAGTGCGGCCAAACAGTTAAGGGGAAAAAAGGCCAGATATGACTGCCACCTGCCACCCTTGCTCCCGCCCGGCCTCCCTGCGGGGTGAGTGCTCACCATCTGCGCTCACCACTGCCCGATCAGGGCCAGGGTCCCCACGCGGATGGCCTCCTTGCTCATCTCCATCTGACTGAGGAAGAACTGCATCAGCTCCTTGGGGTAGGAGCGGGCTGCAGGGGTGAGGGGGAAGGACAGCTTCAGTCGTGCCCTGATTCAAGGGCGGCAGCGGGACAAGGCAGCCCCGGGGCCCGGCGCTCAGAGGGGGACCAGCACTCCCGAGGGCTCCCGGGGCGCCTCACCAAGCGGTGCACGATCTCCGCCAGGTTCTGGCTGCTTTATTGCTGCTGGGCGGGGGCCCTGGAGCACACCTGAGGAGGGCCGGGCAGGGGGGTGGAGAGGTCAGCCCCACGGCGGGGCACACGGGCAGGAGCCCCACCTGTGCCTCGCCCCCGGCAGGAGGCGGGAGGCCTGGGGCATCGGACGGGGCCCACCGCCACCCTGCCACCCGTTGAGCTGGTCGGCAAACGACTCGGCCCCAGCCCGCCTCCCCTGACCCGCCCCCAGCCCGCCTCCCCTGACCCGCCCCCAGCCCGCCTCCCCTGACCCGCCCCCAGCGCGACTCCCCTGACCCGCCCTGGGGAAGGCCACGCCCCGCGCGGCCCTGGGGCTCACCTAGACATGCAGCTCCGTGAAGATGGTATGCAGCTGCATCTGCGGGACTGGGCTGTTGGTGATGAAGGACATCTCCAGGATCTGCCTCAAGATCTGCCACAGACAGGAAATGGTGGCTGGAAACAGAGTCGGACTCGGGGGTCTGGGCAGGGCTTGAGAGGTGGCCTCTTTGCCCAGCTCCCAGGGGATACTGATACATCCAGAGGGGGAACTTCAAGGGCAAAGGTCTGGCGTTTGACCTCAGTCGGTCGAACAGCTGGGCTGGGCTGCACTATGGCCACCGAGTGTGGTGTTCAAGGCCTTCTTCCCCTTTCTCCCCTAGCCACCTAGAGGTGCATCCCAACTTTAGACAGAAGGTCTGCACGTGGCTCCCCAAATGCGGCATGTTTCTTTCTGTTCCCAGCTCTCACCAGGAGAAGGGCCTCGCCTCCTCTGTAAATGAATGACCCCCTTCACAATATATAGCAGCCCAGGTCACAACTTGGCTCAGAGTCTTGCAAAGACTCCATCTCACACACGTCCAAGGCTGGTAAGAGGTTGAATGGTGTCCCCCGCCACCAGAATCCATGTCCACCCACAACCTCAGAATGTGAGCTCACTTGGAAATAGGGTCTTTGCAGACCTAATTACTTAAGGCTCTCAAGATGAGATCACCCTGACAACGCCTTACATCCAAGGACCAGTGTCTTTACGAGAGAGGAGAAGACAGAGACACAGAGATGGCCATGTGACCACGGAGGGGGTGCTGGAATGACGCAGTGCCTGGGCCACCAGAAGCTGGAAGAGGCAAGGTTCTCCCCTAGAGCCTACAGAAGGAGCTTAGCCTGCCGACACCTTGATTTCAGACTGCCGGCCTCCAGAACCACGACAGACACATCTCTGTGGTTTAAGCCACCTGCCTCCTGGCTCTTTGTTGCG